AAATTATATCCCTTTATATAATCACAGTAAATCATATCAATATTAATTTATTATTATACAAATAATGTCTAAAATATCTAAAAATAAAAGGAGTACGATCTCGGTCAATACTGCTTCGTTTCTCATGAAACAACTACCATCCGAATCCTCGAAACTAGGCGAATCTAATGAGCTAATAAACATCGATTTCGAATCATCCAATTACGAGATAATCACGATTGAATTATTGGCTGAAATTATAATTCAATAAATTCTACTCAAAGGAACTCGATTTCAAACTCAATCGCGAATATCTCATTATTGGCTGATCGGAATCAATGTATATTAGTTCATTGGATTCATCTAGTTATGAGGACTCGAATGGTAGTTTTTTCATGAGAAATGGAGCGGTATTGACCCAGAACATACTCTTTTTATTTTTAAATATTTTAGACACTATTTGTATAATAATTATGTGATGCAGTATGATGACGTCGATTTCGACCATTTCACGATATTGATTAATTTTGGTTTTATGTTTAATTCATACTAAAATATAACTAATATATACTTATCTTCTTCAAAATTTTTAACAAAAATTTAAAATCTTACATAATTTATTTTAAAATTAATTAATACAAAATTTTACATATAATCACACTAACAATATTTTTTACATATAAGTAATTATAATAATAAATCCCTTGGTATAAGCACACCTTCATATAGTCACATCATTTCATAGTACCGAGGGGTGTGATTATAGAGGGGATCGACTGTATATAATTTATTTTTTTTTATTTTTTTTTATAATTTATTATAATTTTTGACTAATACTAAATTAATTATTGATTTTCTCATCATTTTTCAAAATATCTATTGTAATTGTAATTTTTTTATTGCTTCTTTCAATATAAATTTTATATATTCAACTATTTTATATTCTTCATTATCTTTATAAAAAATATCATTATCAGGTTTTGCAACTTATATTTTATCAAAACATTGCAAATTTTCTAATAAAGATTAAACATATTTATTAATATTATCTTATAGAAATAAGAAGCAATATAGATACTTAAACCTATTATTATTATAACAAAACTTATAATACATATAATCACAAACTATTATTTTGATATCTATAGGTAAAAAAATAGAATAATTAGATGCTTTGTAAATGGCTAAAAAAGCAAAAGATGCATCAAAATAATAAAATGAATCAGACTTATATGAAATATTAAAACCTAAGAAAAAATGAAATAATTTTACTTTTGGTATTTTTATTGAAGCTAACAAAATAATAATATAGTATTAGCTTTATTTTTGCCTTTCTTTTTGAAGATGAATTTACAGCCTACAATGAAAATATTAAAAAATTTTTATAGTAAAATAAATATCAGAAAAATATTGTAAAAGAAAATAAGTATTATTTTTGTTAAAGTTGTAATATCTTATATAAAATATTCATATGCTGCTTATAATGAAATTTTCTCAAACTTATTATCATTTAATCATAATTGGTGAATATAATAATCATATTTAATAATTTACTAAGCTTTTGTATGTTTTTGTGTATCTCATTATAGAATATTTCTACAATTAGTTAGGTTTTCATATTTCTTTTTTTTTATACAAATATTAAATTCCTAATATATATTTTTTATATTGTATTTTATTATTAAACATATAAGTATATAGTTTATTGATACTATTATCCTTATTAACTTATATCTCATTATTTTATCTAAACTTTAAATACTTAAATATAGTAATTTAAAAAATTATATTTAACTTTCTGCAGATTTTTTAATATATATCAACTATGCTTTCTAATTTTTTTTATATGATATTTAGTTCTTACATATAATATTTTCATATAAGTCAAGTACAAGAAACATTGTACAATATCTAAATATAAATATTTATCATCACTTTCAAATAAAGGAAATTGTATTGTATATATTAATTAATCTGAAAATAATTATAAGAATAAAATCAATTACTAAATCTATATAAGTAAGTTTTTTATATTATTATTTACTTTTTTTTATTCATGTATTTATTTTGACTTGATATTGTAATATTATTAGAAAAAATATATATGTAAAATTAAATATAATGTTTTTGGTCAGAATAATATATATGATCAGATTTAAATTTTTTAAATTTATTATCTTTTATGAATAAATTAATGTCCTTATTATATAAGATCTTTTTTACTATATAGGAGGTATACTAGGAAAATGAGGCTTTGAGCATTTTTTTTTAAATTTTTAATTTTTATTGCATATTAATCTAACATTATCAAAAATTAAAATTAAAATTTTAATAAAAAATGCTCAGAGTTAGCAAACCTCTCATATGTCAATTATAATAACAAAATGTTAAATAAATTTGTATAAAGTTAATTAATAATATAAACTTGAATTATTACTTGAATAAAAAAAAATTTTAAGATCAATTAGAACTGTGATCTTAGTAAGATTTGTCTTACTAATAACGAATGGTATTCATGACAAATTCAATAATATATGAATTACCTCAATAATGATATCTGATGAAATTACCTTTCTTAATATGATAAAATTGATGAAACTAAAATGATAAAACTAGTTTTTTTATTAATAACGAAATTATTTTACTTAATTGCTAAAATTATATTTAACATGATCTAAATTCCTTAAATTAAAATACATTAAAAAATATAATTATTTTATATTTATTCATATAAAAATATTAAAAAGACGAAACTTTTTAACAAAACTACAATTTTTCAAAAAAGAGTTTAGATAGGGTATCACTAGATCTTAGTATCTGAAAATTCATAACATTAGGGTTAAACTTATTATTAATAGAGTGTTTTCTTCTTAGACAAATTTTTGAATTTATTTACAGTAGGCATCTTTCTTTATGCTAGATCTACATATAAAATACTAATCTTTTAATTTATTCTTAAAGGATATTAATTCCCAAAAAATTGTGGTATAAGAAGATCATTTGATTTAAATTTATTAATAATAGCATATACAAAACAAGACTAATTACTAATGATAATAAAAATAATAACAGAGATGTAAAAATTAAAACTAAAGATAACTCAGATCTAGGCTTCATATAATAAAACAAATATGGGTTTCATTAATAGAAATATACCAATTTAATAAATTATTATGTTTAATGATGTATTTTTATTAATAAAACTTTATATGCAGATTGTGTATTTTATATGTATTAGATAAAATTGATGTGTTATAAAAAGAAGTGAAGTCAAGTGAAACAAATGATTGGAGTATGTCATATAAATAGCTATTGGGTATAACTATCCCAAATACATCCTGAAAAATTCTGCTATTAGTAATCATCTATCAATCATTTTCTAATATATATAATATAGTATAGCATAAATTTAATGAAAATTTTTATTTTTTTTATTTTTTGAATATAACTTAATATAACTGTAAACATCTTCTAAAATCGCATTTATATTGTATTTTTGCTTATTTGATTTCTAAAAAAGGTTTTAAATGCCATTTTTAGAAAATTAATTATTACAAAATAATATATAAAAAGTCAAAAATTGCATTTAAAATCATTTTTTTTTTTGATTTAAGTGAACTTGCAGAGCAGGCAAAAATACATTAAAAGATATAATTTGAAAGTTATATAAAATTTGTGTTGGACTATATCAAAAAATCGGTTTTTTTCGATAAAGTTATATTATCAATTTAGGAAATGATCAACAAGATACCCACCATGACAGAATGTTAGGGGTTTGTCCTAGTAACAGTACCACATTAAAAAAAAATACTTTTGCCCTAGTACTGCATCGTTAACAATTTTTTTTTTTAAAAAAATACTTTTGCCCTAGTGACACATACGACTTCTCTTTTCATCTTCAACGGAACCTATTTTCACAATAGCAGGTAAATAATTATCGTCCTTTTACTCTTTCATAAGCCGGCGCTTCCTCAGCCTGTAAAACCCGAGGAGATACGTCTGCCTCTAGACTTTATGTTATCCTGAGAAGGTTTCGGCTTGAAATTTGAAGACTTTTACTAATGCTTTTTGATTTCTTTGTGTTTTTAGTGTCAACATCATGGTTTGTATCAATATAAATAGTTCACATTTGAATTTATTAATCGTGATTCGCGATATATTAATATATTACGTTATTGTTTATCTGCAGAAATTTTGTCAAACTGGGAATTTCGAATCTTTCAATGTACAACTGTTTTGGAAAAACCTCAACGTTCGAGAAGAGAAAGTGAACACTCAAACTGCGCAAGTCATACTGCAAGAAAAAGAAGTAAGTTACCTACACCCAAAATAAGCTTAACTTATTTTTTTCGCAAACCATCTAGGAACAAAATGCTTGTCAAGTGAGGTCTAATATGTTAGATGAAAATATCCAGGTATTATCAAAAAAAAGACGAAAAGGATATTCAACTCCGCCACATAAGGTTTATATACTATAACTTAAATTTAGTTAGCGAAAACATCTGCTAACATTTGAATTCTCTTTGAATGTATATCAGAACAATAAGCACGGAGTCTCCTCAACGAGAATTGCAAGGATCGCAACCGCAATTCACATTGCACATATTTTGCAAACCTTATATATCAGCGATTCCAGATTTTGCGATTAGTAAGAGGAATGTTAATTGAGGTTCGTAGGAATTTATTGATACTTCTGATTGCTTAGTTATTCATCTCTCAGTGATGAAAAATCTTCCCGATTGTAGGATTTAAATGAATCTTTGCCAAAGCTATTATTTTTACTATTTCCTTTTTTATTTTTTATTTGTTTTATTAACAATTACCTTTTTATTTTTGTTGTATATAGGCTAGCTCTCATTTAATTTTATATTCACGTTTTCGATGTATACATCACATTTTCGATGTATACATTCGTATTCACGTTTTCGATGTATACATCCATTTTCGATGTATACATTCGTATTCACGTTTCCGATGTATACATCATGTTTTCAATGTATACATTCGTTATTCGAATATTCTAAAACCGACGTACCAATATCAGATTATTTCTTAGAGTGCGACTTTTGATTATGGGCTTGGAAATTACGAAGAAGGAACAATAATTGATCCTGAGTTTGTTCTACTTGGAAGAACTGGAAACTAAAATCTGGTGCGGTGAAGCCGTGATCTATGACTGCGGCGATCATGACAAATTGGTCATATCTGACCGATCGTCCATATTGATAATATTTAATATAATTGTTAACTTTATTAGTTTTATAATATTAGATTTATTTATTATATTTAATTTATACATTAGTTACATTTATTATGTATATTATATAGGACATATTTAGTATATTATTAGTTTATTTTATACTAAAGCAAGACAATTACCTAATCATTTATTTCTTTTGTCAAATCCTTTATTATCTGAAAAGATAGAAGTATTATCATTATGTG